GTGGGGGGAAGGATGCAGGCAGGGAGGGAGGGATCTAGGCCTTGAGGATGGGGGAGACCGGGAGAGAGAATAGAAACCGAGGCAGAGAGCCCGAGAGGGGCCGGGGCGCCCAGAGAAGCAGACAGACAGAGCGGACACTCAGAGTCACACGGAGACCTAGAGGCTGAGAAATTCCAAGACTCATAGGTCTGGGGACTGAAGGAGACACAGAGACTGCCACAAAGAGACAGAGAGAAAAAAGGGGAGACAGAGATGGAGTCGGAGACCCTCTGAGACTCAGAGATTGTAAGGTCCTGGGAGTAGAGAGGTCAGAGAGAGAGAAACAGAGAGACAGAGACAGAGAGAAGCTCAGAGGCCTTGGGCTGAGAGATGTTGAGACCAGAGACCTTGAGCTTGGGGAAGAGACGAGAGAGAGACCCTGGAAAGGAGAGACAGCAAGGGGCAATCCTAGGGGGGTCCCCTGATGAGGACTAGGGCTCTGGCCGTGCCTGAGGCGGAGCCTGGGGTCTGGGCGGCCGGAGGAGACGGAGAAGACGGGAGGGGGCGTCCCAAGCTGGGGTCCCCGAAGCAGCGGGCGGGCGCAGAGCGGAGCCGGGTCCTGCAGCAGCCGCGGAGCTGGGAGACGGGCCAGCCCCCCACCCCCCACCCCGCCGTGATGTCAGCGGGGGCCACTCTTAAAGGGGCAGGCCGCCCGCCGAGGGTCGGAGCGGGGCTGGGACCCGCGGGCACCGGAGGAGGGGACCATCGCTGTGCTGGGGGCGATAGGGGCAGCCCTAGCATGGGGCTGGGCCGAGTCCCGGGAACCCAGGAGCCTGCAAGGACGGAGAGACGCCAGAGCCCCCGAGAGAGCCTGAGAAGCCTTGGGGTTCCGTCCCCTCCAAACACGGACACAGGCACACCACCCCGCTGGCCTGCCCGGGTCTGGGGACTACATTTCCCATTAGCGCCGGCAGCGAGGGGCCGCACTTGGGGGAAGGGTCCGCCGCGGAGTCTGCTGGGAAGTGTAGTCTACTTGGACTGGCCCCTCCACTCTCTCCCCCACCCCACCCCCAACACACACATGCAAGTGGGTCAGAGGAGAGAGACCGGAGGGCACGGCCGCCTGTCTGCTGCGGATCCCCAACTCAGGGGTTCTGAGGGTTTCTATGGCGGGGGGCTCTGATTAAGTCTCCAGGTCTCCCAATGGGAGGCCTGCCTTTCATCTCCCCTCTCAGGGCTTCTTCCCAGCCCCTGGGTCTCAGTGTGTGTCCGTCCGTCTCTGGAAGCTGGGGTGTGACTATGAGCCCGCGGCCTCCACTTGACACTCTCTGTGGTCTGAGTGCACCTCTCTGCCTCATTGAGCGGTCCGCTTTGGTCCCCTCTCTGTGGCGCTGCACTCTGTCTCACTTTGTGAACCTCTGCCTCTTGAGCTCTGTGCTCGCTGGCGTTCTCTCTCTCTTTCCTTCTCTCTCTCTGTGTTTTTCTATTCTGTCTCTGTCTCTGGGGTTCTAATCTCCCATCTCTCTCTCTGTTTTCTGTTTTCCCTTCTCTCTCTCTCTGGGTCTCTCTTTTTCTCAGAGTTTCTGCTCTTTCCCTCATGTTGTGGGTCTCTCTGTCTCTGTTTCTCTGTTCTTTCTGTGCGGGTGTGTATATGTGTGTGTGTGTGCGCGCGCGCGCGCGCGCACGATCTATCTCTTGGGGGATTCTTTTTTCTCTCTCTGTACTGTGTGTGTGTCTGCTCTCTCTGGGTTTCTATACTCTGTGTGTGTGTGTGTGTGTGTGTGTGTGTGTGTGTGTGTGTGCCTGCTCTCTCTCTCAGGGGGTTCTTTTCTCTCTTTTGCTCTCTGCTCTGTTTCTCTCTTCCTCTGTCTGCTCTCTGTCTCTCTGGGGGTCTCTTCTCTCTGGGTCTCTTCTCTCTCTCTGGGTTTCTATACTCTCTTCTCTCTGCTCTCTCATGCTGTGGATCTGCTCTCACTTTGCGAGTCTCTGTGCTTTCTCCCTCTCTGTCCCCCAGCCCCTGTCTCTGCTTGTTTCTATGTAAGTCATTGTCCCAATTCTCCACCCCCTCCACTCTCCAAGCTTAGAAGAAAACATCCAAACACACTTCAGCATCAGCGTCCCGTATTTATTCTTCAGCAGCTGTGGTCGGCGGGAAAGGCAGAGGGAAGAGGAGGAGGAGAAGAGAGTCCCAGAGAGTGAAAGGCTTGGGGGTGGGGGGTTCCGAGCAGGACAGGAGCCATGCACTGGCGAGCAGTGATGGGTTTAGGATGGGGGAGTCTAGAACAAAAGCAGACTGAGAACAGTAGGGGGAAGAATCCTCCATATATCCCAGGAATCCCCAGGGCGGAGAAGTGGGAGCACTGGAGCATGGGGGCACAGCCTCCCACTTACTCTAGAACTGGAGTGGAGGTGGGAGGGGCCTAGGAGGTGGGTTAGGTTTAGAATCCGATTCTGGATCTGCCCACCCCATGAGACTATTTCCCAAGGTAGGTGGGGGGAGAGACATAGAACCTATCAAGATGGAGTCTAGAACCCCATGGAGCTGAGATAGTGGTGGTGGTGGTGGTGGTTCTGGAACCCGTTGGAATAGAGTCCAGAATGCTGGGGAGGGGTGGGGATGAATCTAGGGTCCACATAGCACAATCTAGAACATGGGGAAGCTCTAGAGCCTATTCGGAGCCTAGACTGCCAGGAATGCTGCTGTGGGGGGGGGGTGGTATCTAGCAGAGGCCAGAATGCTGGGCAGGAGGGTCTAGAACGTGAAGGGGATGGTGGTGAAGTGGGGGCGACGGCTGGCACCACAGAGGGGGCAGTGGGGACACCTACTGGCAGCAGGTGGGATTACATGACTTGCACGGGCACTGGGCTGGTGGGGCTGCGGGCGTCCGGATGCACGAAATCCGGGTTTACATAGGTGAAGCCCTGGAATTCAGTCTGGTCAATGCTGGCCAGGACCAGGCGGTCTGGAGGCGTCAGCGCTGGCGCCGCCCGCGTGAAGAACTTGTCGAAGTTCTCACCACTGCGACCGCACTGTGAAAAACGGAAAGGGAGATATGAGGTTCTTCCTACTCCTTGGGTCTTGTTTATGTCTTCCTGCAGGGAGGCCCTGGGTGGCGCAAACGGTCAAGCGCTTGACTGCTATCAGAAAGGCTGGGGATCGAACCCACCCAGAGGCGTCTCCGAAGACAGGCCTGGCGATCGGCTTCTAAAAAATCACAGCCTTGAAAACCTTAAGGAGCACAGGTCTACTCTGCACACATGGGGTCGCCATGAGTCAGAATCTACTCGACAACAATCACCCCTTTCCTGTCTCTTTCAGAATCTCTGCACACCCTTCATGTTCTCTGGAGACCCTTTAGGGGGTTCTCAAAGAGGGAGCCCCCACTCCACCTCCACACATAGATATTGGCCTTCGTGGGTGCCCCACCCCCCAAGGACCAAGGTTTCGTTCCTAGAGGATGACTGACCGGGCGAGGTCTGAACGGAGGTGCAATCTCCAATCGCTCCAACCGTTCCCAGTCGATCCAGCGGAAAAATCCATGAGCACGGATGGTGGGCTCCCCATCTGGCCCAGAGCCCAGGCGCTTCCCTGGGTGCTTGGTCAGGAACTGTGGGAAACACAGAGAGAGACAGACGGACAGACAGAGTCCCAGACAGGGAGACCCAGAGAATGAGGAGGAGAATGAAGAGGAGGACAGAGAAACCAAGAGACATAGACAGAGAGATGCAGAGAGAGAATAGCAAGGAGGACAGAGATGGAGAAGGAAGGGAAAGAAGAAAGGGAGATAGAGAGAGGAAGGAGAATAAATAAGAATAAGAATAGATGAAACCCAGACCCAGAGACCCAGGGACAGATGGAGAGACAGAAGGCAGGGCATGGGGGTAGGAGGAGCAGAGAAACCCAGAGAGACAGGAGAACAACAAGAGAAGAAGCCCAGAGTGGGATGGCGAGAGAGAAGGAGGAGGGGGAAGAGGAGGGGAAGAGATGGGAAGAGGAGGAGGAGAAGGGGCAAGAAGAGGGGAGGGGAAAAAGAGGAAGAGGGATGAGAATGAGGAGAAGCCAAAGAAGAAGGAAGGAAAAAAGAAAAGAAGCAGAGACCCAGAGAAAGAAAAGGTTAGAGAGCCAAATACCCAGGGTTAAGAGAGAGACCCAGAGAAAAGGGAGAATAGAGATCCAGAGGGAGCAGAGGACAGAGACCCAGGGTGGGAGGACAGATGCCCAGAGAGAGGGACAGAGACTCAGGGTGGGGCAGATACCCAGAGAGAGACTGTCAGAGAGAACCCAGGAGTTAAAAGCAGAAGTGCGCTAGCATTTGTTGAAACCTGCTCGGTGCCAGGCACTTTCTCCTGCATTAACTCCATAACCCCAGAAGAGGAAACTGAGGTTCAGAGAGTCTTGGTAAATAGTGGCTGGGAGTTAGGCACCTGACCCACCCAGTTCTGGTGAGGCAGGCCTTGGTCTTTCAGCACGTCCTGCAGTGAGCTCAGGTGGGGGGCTACAGGAAAGGATGGGATACAGGTCACCCTTAGAACTGAAGTGGCGGCAATGCCCTGAATTATTGTTCTAGCAAAATCTGTGTGTTTATATAAACTTTTCCGACAGATGGAGGTGAAGTGACTTGAGAAATGGGAGCCTTTTTCTAATGTGCACAAAGATGCTGTGTGGGCTAAGGGCAGCCCTGGGTGGTAGCAATGGGGCATGGGTTGTGAGTCTGCAGAAGTTTGGGGTCAGGGGCTCTCACCCCCTTGCAGATGGCCACAGCCTCCCGAGAAAGCGACTTGGGGTAGGTGACGGTTTGTTCCATGATGGCCTGAAACAGCTCCTCTTCATCCTCCCCATCAAAGGGGGGCTAAGAAGTAGGGAGGAGGGATAAAGAGTCAGAGACTTGAAGCACTACCACTCCCACATCATCCATATCCCCACCGCCCACTGTGAACACGAACTACCACTCCCCAGCATCCTAGCCGGAAAACCTGACCAAACAACCAAAGCTTCGTCTTTCTCCTCTCTTACTCTCTTTTTTTTCCTATCTCAGATGCCTCAGCTCTCTGTATTTCTTTGCTGTCCTGTTTCTCTTGATCTGCTATGTAAATCAGCAGGGTGTTAATTAGACAATATGTCACTGAAATAGAAGAGAGAAAGGAAAACCAAAAAAAAAAAAAAAAAAGAAAAAAAAAAAAAAAAAAAAAAAAAAACCCACAAAAACCATTCTCCAGGTTGGATGAAGGTCCCCAGTCTTGCGGGATTAGGAAACGCATTATCAAGGAAAGGGTTGTTAATGTGGAGTCTGTGAGCCTGTATATACAATTGAAGGGTGGCCCATGAACTTGGACGAGGAAGAGGCTACGTCTTTATTTTTTTAACCTCTAACTGAAATGTAGCATTTTCTTGTACAATGAATGTAAGCAATAAACCACAGCAGCAGTATCTGTCACTGTGTCACCAATAGAAACCACAGAAGTTCTCTTATCACAACAGAGTGACCATGGTTGTTAGGTGCCCTTGAATCTGCTCTGACTCATAGTGACTCTGTGTGCAACAGAACCAAATACTGCCCAGTCCTGCGCCATCCTCACGATCGTTATGCTTGAGCCAACTGTCGCAGCCACTGTGTCAATCCATCTCATTGAGGGTCTTCCTCTTTTTCGCGGATCCTCTACTTTACCAAGTATGATGTCCTTCTCCAGGGACCAGTCCCTTCTGATAACATGTCCAAAGTACGTGAGATGAAGTCTCACCATCCTCACTTCCAAGGAACACTCCGGCTGTATTTCTTCCAAGACAGACTTGTTCATACTTCTGGCAATCCATGGTATGTTCAGTATTCTTCGCCAACACCATAATTCAAAGGCATCAATTCTTTGGTCTTCCTTATTCATTGCCAAGCTTTCGCATGCATATGAGGTAACTGAAAATATCATGGCTTGGGTCAGGCACACTTTAGACCTCAAAGTGACATCTTTGCTTTTTAACACTTGAAAGAGGTCCTTCGCAGTAGATTTGCCCAATGCAATACGTCGTTTGATTTCCTGACTGCTGCTTCCATGGGCGTTGATTATGGATCCAAGCAAAATGAAATCCTTGACAACTTCAATCTTTTCTCCATTTATCATGACGTTGCTTATTTGTCCAGTTGTGAGGATTTTCGTTTTCTTTATGTTGAGGTGTAATCCATACTGAAGGCTGTGGTCATTGATCTTCATCAGTAAGTGCTTCAAGTCCTCTTCACTTTCAGCAAGGTTGTATGATCTGCATATCGCAGATTGTTAATGAGTCTTCTTCCAATCCTGATGCCCCGTTCTTCTTCATATAGTCCACCTGCTTGGATTATTTTGCTCAGCATACAGATTGAATAAGTACGGTGGATACTTAATAACCATCAGGGATACAACCCTGGTGCACACCTTTCTTGATTTTAAACCATGAAGTATCCCCTTGCTCTGTTTGAACGACTACATCTTCATCTAGGAACATATCCCACATGAGCACAATTAAGTGTTCTGGAATTCCCATTCTTCTCAACGTTATCCATAATTTGTTATGATCCACACAGTCGAATGCCTTTGCATAGTCAATAAAACACAGGTAAACATCTTTCTGGTATTCTCTGCTTTCAGCCACGATCCATCTAACGTCAGTAATGATATCCCTCATTCCACGTCCTCTTCTGAATCCAGCTTGAATTTCTGGCAGTTCCTGTTGATGTACTGCTGCAACTGCTTTTGAATGATCTTCAGCAAAATTTTACTTCTGTGTGATATTAAGGATATTTTTAGATAATTTCCACATTCTATTGGATCACCTTTCTTTGGAATAGGCAGAAATATGGAATTCTTACAGTCGGTTGGCCAAGTAGCTGTGCTCCAAATTTCTTGGCATACACAAGTGAGCACTTCCAGTGCTGCATCAGTTTGTTGAAACATCTCAATTGATATTCTGTCAATTCCTGGAGCCTCATTTCTCGCCAATTCCTCCAGTGCAGCTTGGACTTCTTCCTTCAGTACCATTGGTTTTTGATCATATGCTACCTCCTGAAATGGTTGACCACTGACCAATTCTTTGGTACAGTGACTCTGTGTATTCCTTCCATTTGCTTTTGATGCTCCCTTGGTCATTCAATACTTTGCTTATAGAATCCTTCAAAATTGCAACTTGAGGCTTGAATTTTTTCTTCACTTCTTTCACCTTGAGAAATGCCAAGCGTGTTCCTCCCTTTTGGTTTTCTAACTCCAGGTCTTTGCACGTTTCATTAGAATATTTTACTTTGTCTTCTTGAGCTGCCCTTTGAAATTTTTTGTTCAGCTCTTTTACTTCATCATTTCTTCTATTCACTTTAGATACTCTAAGTTCAAGAGCAAGTTTCAGAGTCTCTTCTGACATCTATTTTTTTTCTTTTCTTTCTTTCTTGTCTTTTTAATGACCTTTTGCTTTTTTCATATATGATGTCCTTGATGTCTTCCCACAACTCATCTGGTCTTCAGTCATTAGTGTTCAATGCGTCAAATCTATTTTTTTTATTATTGTCCTTTTAGATGAAGGCTTACGGAACAAACTAGTTTCTCATTAAACATTTAGTACACATACTGTCTTATGACATTGGTTAACAACCCATGACATGTCAACACTCTCCCTTCTCGACCTTGGGTTCCCTATTACCAGCTTTCCTGTCCCCTCGTGCCTTCTAGTCCTTGCCCCTGGTCTGGTGTGTCCCTTTAGTCTCGTTTTGTTTTATGTGCCTGTCTAATCTTTGGCTGAAGGGTGAACCTTGGTAGTGACTTCATTACTGAGCTAAAAGAGTGTCTGGGGGCCATACTGTTAGGGTTTCTTCAGTCTCTGTCAGACCAGTAAGTCTGGTCTCTTTTTGTGAGTTAGAATTTTGTTCTACATTTTTCTCCAGCTCTGTCCAGGACCATCTGTTGTGGTCCCTGCGAGAGCAGTCAGTGGTGGTAGCCAGGCACCATCTAGTTGTACTGGACTCAGTCTGGTGGAGGCTGTGGTAGTTGTGGTCCATTAGTCCTTTGGACTAATCTTTCCCTTGTATCTTGTTTTCTTCATTCTCCCTTGCTCTCGAAGGGGTGAGACCAGTGGAGTATCTTAGATGGCTGCTTACAGGATTTTAAGACCCCAGACGCTACTCACCAAGGTAGAATGTAGAACATTTTCTTTATTAACTATGTTATGCTAGTTAAGCTAGATGTTCCCTGAGACCATGGTCCCCACAGCCCTCCGCCCAGTAATTCGGTCCCTCAGGGAGTTTGGTTTTGTCTATGGAGCTTCCATGACCTTACCTTATACAAATTGTGCTGGCTTCTACAGTATTGTGTACTGTCTTACCCTTCACCAAAGTTACCACTTACCTATTGTCTATTAGGGTTTCCCTCCGCCACCCTCCCCTCCCTCATAAATATTAAAGATTGTTTCTTTTTGCATGGAAACCTTTTCATGAGTTTTTACAGTAGTGGTCTCATACAATATTTGTCCTTTTGTGATTGACTTATTTCACTCAGCATAATGTCCTCCAGATTCATCAATGTTATGAGATGCTTCGCAGATTCATCATTGTTCTTTATCATTGCATAATACTCCATTGTGTGTATGTACCATAGTTTATCCAGCGTCAAATCTATTCTTGAGATGGTCTCCAAATTCAGGTGTGATATACTCAAGTTCGTATTTTCGTTCTCATGGACTTGTTTTAATTTTCTTCAGCTTCAACTTGAATTTTCATATGAACAATTGATGGCCTGCTCCACAGTCGGCCACTTGCCTTGTTCTGACAGATAATATTGAGGTTTTCCATAGTCTCTTTCCACAGATGTAGTCAATTTGATTTCTGTGTTTTCTATCCTGTAAGGTCCACGTGTATAGTCGCCAGTTATGTTGTTGAAAAAAGGTATTTGCAATGAATAAGTCGTTGGTCTTGCAAAATTCTATCTTTCCATCTCTGCTGTCATTTCTATCACCAAGGCCATATTTTCCAACTACTGATCCTTCTTCTTTGTTTCCAACTTTCACATTCCAATCACCAGTAATTATCAATGCATCTTGATTGCATGTTTGATCAATTTCAGACTGTAGATGTTGGGAAAAATTTCAGTTTCCTCATGTTTGGCGTTAGTAGTTGGTGGGTAAATTTGAATAATAGTTGTATTAACTGGTCTTCCTTGTAGGCGTATGGATATTATCCTATCACTGACAGCATTGTACTTCAGGATAGATCTTGAAATGTTCTTTTTGATGAACATTTGACCATCCTTCTTCAATTTGTCATTCCTGGCATATGATTGTCCAATTCAAAATCGCCAATACCAGTCCATTTCAGCTCACTAATGAGCTAGGATACCAATCTTTATGTGTTCCATTTCATTTTTGACGACTTCCAATTTTCCTAGATTCATATGTCGTACATTCCACGTCCCTATTATTAATGGCTCCCACATGTCTGTCAGTTTGTCGTACTGTGGGGGCTTGGGTGTTGCTGTGATGCCAGAAGCTATGTCACCAGTATTTCAAATACCAGCAGGGTCACCCATGGCGGACAGGTTTCAGCTGAGCTCCCAGGCTAAGACAGACTAGGAAGAAGGACCCAGCGATCTACTTCTGAAAAGAATTAGCCAGTGAAAATCTTATGAATAGCAATGGAACATTGTCTGATACAGTGCCGGAAGATGAGCCCCTCAGGTTGGAAGGCACTCAAAAGACGCAGTGGCTGCAACAGTGGGCTTAAGCATAACAGCGACTGTGAGGATAGCACAAGATTGGGCAGTGTTTCATTCTGTTGTACATAGGGCTGCTATGAGTCGGAACTCACTTGACGGCACCTAACAACAACATTAGTAATGGATGTTTGCAGCTGTTTCTGTTCATTTTTTGAGTCATGCCACATTAGCAAATGAAGGTCCCAAAAGTTTGACTCCATCTACACCATTAAGGTTGACTCTACTTTGAAGAAGCAGCTCTTTTCCAGTTGTATCTTGAGTGCCATCTGACCTGAGGGGTTTGTCTTCCGGCACTGTATCAGACAATTTTCCACAGCTATTTGTAAGGTTTTCAACGGCCAGTTTTTTCAGAAGTAGACTGCCTGGTCCTTCTTCCTAGTCTGTCTTAGTCTGGAAGCTCCAGTGAAACCTGTCCACCAAGGGTGATCCTGCTGGTATTTGAAATACTGGTGGCAAAGCTTGCAGTATCACAGCAACACAAAAGCCACCACAGTACGACAAACTGACAGACAGGTGGTAGATAAGAGTGGGAGTTATCTCAAAATATCAGTCATGCCTACTTGAAAATTACTGTTAGATCCTCCAGTGGATCCTACTATTTAATGCATTAAGAAAGCACATATATGTCCATATATCAATTTTTAATATTCAGACAATTCTATCCATTTAAATTAAACGTATTTTGTTGGTTAAATTGAATTAAATATGAAAGGTTTTGATTAGTATATTTCAATATGATTGGTTTCTTTTGTAATCCTATGGTTTCTGTTTTGTTTTTTGCTTTTTACTTTTTTAATATGTCTTTGTGTTTACATTTAAAAACAAGGGGATTTTTAAAAAGAAGGGGTCCATGGCACACACACACACACAAAGTTTGTTGTTGTTAGGTGCCGTTGAGCTGGTTGCAACTCATAGCAACCCTATATACAACAGAAGGAAACACTGCCTAGTCCTGTGCCACCCTCACAGTCATTCCTATATTTGAGCCCATTGTTGCAGCCACTGTGTCAATTCATCTCATTGACGGTCTTGCCGTTGAGTCTATTGTGACTCTTGCGATCCTATAGGACAGAGTAGAACTTCCCCATTGGGTTTCCAAGGCTGAAATCTTTATGGAAGCAGACTGCCACATCTTTCTCCCATGGAGCACCTGGTGAGTTCAAATCGCCCACCTTTTGGTTAGCAGCCAAGCACTTAACCACTGAGCCACCACCCACCAGGCCTCCTTAACAACTGTGGCCTACGGTAAAAAAAAATGCTCCAAGACCATGGACAGCACTGTTCTGCTGCTAACACACCTCCTTAGACTATATAGACTTATATTTTGTATAGTTTTAACCTGCACTTCACCTGGCCTTTCCCACTTTCTCCAATTCGGGGCATTGCAAACTGAAGTCACGGCTTAACATCACCGACCGTGGGGTCTGACTTTATTCCCAGGCCACCCCTCTTCATCAAAACTCTACCCATACTCCTGACCCACCTTCAAAAGGCTGAACTCAGCCCAAGCCATCTTCTCCCCAGCTTCCCTTACCTGTCCTGCCAACATCTCATACAGTAGAACCCCAAAGGACCACCAATCCACGGACTTCCCATAGGGCTGGTAGGCAATGATCTGGCGGGGGAAAGTGGAAACCATAATTTTTTTTTTTTTTAAAGAAGCCTAGAAACCCCTCTGGCCTCACTTACATGGAATCTTGTCCATTTTAAGTGTTCTCAGCACAAACTGCTCCCATTCTGAGTATTTTGGCCAGAGCTGCACCCCTTGGAAAAGTTGGGGAACAAGCCTTACCTATTTCGTTGTTGGTTTTGTTTTTGTTGTTGGTTTAGTGACTTAGGAGACCCTATTTGTTACACAGTAGAACTGCTCCACAGAGTTCCTTGGCAGTAATCATTAGGGAAGCAGATCGCCAGGTCTCTTTCCACCCAGCTGCTGCTGGGTGCTCTGGACAAACCGTGTACGCCAGCCAAGGACTTTGCCTTACCTATTTTGAATACTCCTTTGGTCTCAAGTATAAAAACTACCTAAGGGACAAATCACAAGTTGCACCCACCTAGAATATTTGGTAACTGGACCCTCCCCTTAGAACACCAGGTGTATAGGGCCAAATTTCAAAGACCAATTATTCTTAAACCTGGATGCACGCCAGATTCACCTGAGAAGCTGTTTAATATTAGATGTTCCCAGCCCTTGAGAATTCCAGCTTCAGTATGCCAGGGTCAGGAACATGTGTATTTTTCAAAAGTTCCCCAGGTGATTCTGATTTTGTCAGGTTTTGTAATCACTGACATTGATTACTTGGGTACTTATTGTTAGTTGCCTTCAAGTTGATTTCAACTCATTGCAACACCATGTGTGCAGAGTAGAACTGCTCCATAGATTTTCAAGGCTGTGACCTTTCAGAAGATCACCGGGCCTGTCTTCTGAGGTGCCTCTGGGTGGGTTTGAACTGCCAACGTTTTGGTTAACTGGTGAGTGCTCAACCATTTGTGCCACCCAGGGACTTCTTTGGTGGTTACTGGGAGGCATGAATTCTTCTATCCTGCCTATTCTGCTCTGGAATTGTCCAGGGAACAGGTTTGAACCTAGACTACTGGTTCTAAGGGACGATTCCAAGTTCCCCCAGGGAGGCAGGAGTTAGGGACCTGAAGATTTTTTAACTTGGGGCTCCTGGGTCCAGGGAATAAATGGCTAGAAATTTGGACTCTGAGTTTTGGAATTGTGTTAAAAGCTGGGGGTGCAGGATCCTGTCTTCTGAGGTACTTCTGGGTGGATTCAAACTGCCAATCTTTCAGCCAGTAGTTGAGCACTTAACGATTTGTATCATCCATGGACTCCTAGTTGGGTACCAGCATCGAGCATTTGGAAAGATTACAGAGCAGCTCCGCGACCACCACCTCCTCCTTCAATTTAGAGAAGTCGAGGCACGGACTCTATCCAGTTACATGTATATTCAGAACATCAGTTCCACTCCCTGAGCAAAGTCAAAGCAACACTTCACCCATCCCAAATGCTCACAGGGCAGCATCTGTTCTTCTGGACTTCTTAAGGATCTGACCTTGCCTTCTTAGAATGTTCAACACAAAAGACCACCCCACTTAGATCAAAGAGCCGTCTAATACACTTCTAGCACCAGCTTTCATCCAATTAGAAGACTCGAGGGCAAGTCCCACCCACTTAGACTACTCAGGGGACAACCGCTACACACTCTTTCTTCTGGTGTGTGTATGTTGGTTGGGGGAGAGGCCCGCCCACTCAGGGTGCGCTGGAAATAATCTCCACCTCCTTAGAATAGTACAGAAACAGCCCTGTTCACTTAGAATTCCTACGAGCTGGTCCCACTCTTTCAGAACGTTCGCCCACAAGTTCTGCCTACTTTGGCTATTTAGAATCCCAGCTCCACCTACTTAGCATGCTCAGCTCTCGGGCTTCTGTGGTTGGATGTTGGAGCGAGTCCCCACCCGGTGAGAACGTCCAAGACTCGTTGGAAGACGTCAGAATCAGGCCACACCCATTTTGAATACTAGGCAACCAACCACACTTGCTCAGCCGACTTGGACAGCACCCAGTGCCGCGGAGTTTGGATTACCTCGGGGGCTATGTAGTCTGGGGTCCCGCAGAAGGTGCGAGTGGTGGTCCCAAGGAAGACATTCTCCTTGCACATGCCGAAGTCAGTGATTTTGATGTGTCCTTCTGCATCCAGCATTACGTTGTCCAGTTTCAGGTCCCTGGATGTGTGGGAAGGGTTGAGTTCAGTGGGCTGGAGCCCTGCACTGGAATCCCTGTCCCTGTACTAGTGCCAGTTGCCGTGGAGTTGGCTCCGACGACTTCATGTGTGTCGGCGTAGAGCTGTGCTCCATAGGGTTTTCTTTCTTTCTTTTTAAAATATTTTATTGTGTTTTTGGTAAACATTTACACAATAAATTAGGTTTCCATTTGACAATTTCTACACAAATTAGTTACATTTTTCACAATGGGTCAACATTCTCTGTAATTGTGTTCTGGTTGTTTCATTTCCAATACTCTAGCTTCCCTGTCCCCTTATCTTCTCATCTTTGCTTCAGAGTAATTGTTGACCTTTTGGTCTCATATAGATAGTTTTTTAATGGAGTACCGTACTCATGGGTAATATCTTTTATTTTGTGTGCCAATCTGTTATTTCGCTAAGAGGTGACCTCAGGATAGTTTTGGTTCAAGGTTTAAAGAGTATCTCAGGGTGATAGTCTCAAGGAGTCCTCTAGTCTCAACTGGTTCAGTAAGTCTGGACTTTTTAAGAATTTAAGTTCTGTTCCACATTTTTCTCCCACTCTATTAGGGTCCATCTATTGTGGCCCTGACCAGAATGATCAGTAGTGGTAGCCGGGCACCAGTTCTTCTGGTCTCAGAGTAGATGAGGCCATGGACCATCAGGTTTTCAACGGCTGATTTTTTGGAAGTAGATTGCCAGGTCTTTTTTCTGAGGCACCTCTGTGTGGGTGTGAATCGACAATCTTTCAGTTAGCAACCAAGCATGTTAACTGTTTATACCACCCAGGGGCTCCCACTTCCCCTCTGGGGGCCTGATTTCTCTCCACTGAAGGGCCTAGGGCTGCTCACCTGTAGATGATGCCCTGATTGTGAAGGAAGAAGAGGCCAATGGCAATTTCTGCTGCATAGAATCTGGAGGAGGGAATGGGAAGCCAGAAGTCAGGAGCTACATCCCACCCGCTTCCAGCTTCCCCTTGCTCCCCTCCTGGCTGAGACTCACGCTGCATGGGGCTCCTTAAATTTGCCCAATTGCTGAATGTGGTACATCAAGTCGCCGCCAGTGACATACTCCATCACGAAATACAGGCGATCCTGGGGACAAGGGGGCAGGGCTTAGAGGCAAGAACATGCCCAAGAGTGGGGAGGAAATGTCCCTTCCCACCACTTAGGACAAAAGTGGAAGGCTCTGAATCTACCCAATCAGAACTCCAGAGCAACTGGCCATGCCCAGTGGGAGATCCCAAAGGTTCCAACTCTGCCAGCTCAGAACCTCCACTCACCCAGTCACCAGTCCCTCCCAACTATCAGGTGTTTTGGTCCCACCCTCTCAGAACTGAAGATTGAGGCCCACCATCCACTCGAAATTGGGGACACTAAAACCTCTCTCCACACACTCACACACATATGCAATTCTGACCACCTATTAGGGACCAGAAGGATCCCTGGTGGCACAGTGGTTAAGCACTAGACTGCTAACCAAAAAGTTGGCAGTTCAAACCCACTCAGCTTCTCCAACGGAGAAAGGCCTGGTGATCTGCTTGCATAAAGATTAAAAACAAAACAAAACCCTTTGCCATCCAGTTAACTCCGACTCATAGCGACGCTATAGGACAGAGTAGAACTGCCCCACAGGATTTCCAAGGTTCTAATCTCTACAGGAGCAGACTGCTACATGTTTCTCCATGTGTGGCTGGAGGGTTGAAACCGCTGACCTTTCAGTTAGCAGCTAAGCCCTTAACCACTGCTCCAACCGCGGCTCCTTCAGCATAGATTACACCCTAGAAAACTCTATCGGGTCAGCTCTACTCTGCACACATGGGGTCGCCATGAGCCGGAATCGACTGGAAGGCACCTAACAACAACAATTAGGTACCAAAGTTTTTCAGGCCCCATGGTAATGAAGGGGAAAAAAACCCAGGAGGTGGCTACACTCATTCAGAACACCTGGGTGTAGAGTCACGCCCTTTAAAACCTCCAGAAGGTTCTGGCTGCTTGCCCCGTTTCACAATCTTTAGGAAACTTTCATTTCTCACTTGCCCTTCTTGCCAGAATCCAAAAGCAACGACTCCACCCACCACTCAAATCCCAATTCTGAGGATGCCCACTCAGAAGACATTCTCCTTCACGCATTCTTTGTCTAAGAAATACAGGGACTGGCTACGCTCACTGGAGACCCACGCAGTCTGGCCCTGCTCAACCTGGAGCCACACATTCTGGCCACGCCCACTCAGGGCCTCAACAATCTGTTCACGCAAACTCAGTGCCCAACCCCCACCACGCCCGCTCAGGAGCCCATCCTTCTGGCCCGCCCACTCACGATCATAACAGTCTGACCACACTCACGCGAGACCCCACCATCTAGCCGCGCCTACTTGGAAGTCCCACCCCGCCTGGCCACACCCTCCCATGACCCCATTCTTCCGGCTACGCTCACTCAGGACCCCACCCTTCTGGTCACACCCACCTAGAAAATCTCTTCTGTCTAACCACGCCCACTGAGGCGTGCAAGGTTTTTGCCTTGCCCTAAACTCAGAATCCCAAAGCAAATGGTTAATCCATCCAAGGGCGATGCAGCAGGGCCCCGGGGCCAGCCTCCGCCCCCTGATTCCGTACCGGGGTCTGGAAGGTGGAGTGCAGCTGGGTGAGAAAGTGGGGCCGGCCGCCCGGGCCTCGGCCCCCCAGCGCCAGCACGCGCTTTTCCACCAGGGTGCAGTCCACGTCGTCGTCCTGAACGATCACGTCCTTCTTCAGAATCTTGATGGCATAGAGCTCATCGGAGCCCCTGCGCTCGGCCAGCATCACCTACCGAAGGAAGGCCTGAAGGTCCAGGTCACCTTGGGAACCCAGTAGTGCAGGTTCCCGGTCCCCACCCCCTCAGGGGCCTAGAAGAACAGGACCCCAGGTCCTTCCACTCTCTCAGGGAGCCAATCTAAGAGCCAGGGCACCACGTTCTTGATTTGGCTGGCCACCTCCTCTGGGAAACGTATCCCCCCAGGAACTCGAGGGACCCAACCTACCACAATTTGGGAACTCTGAAGCCTAGTCTTCCCCTCCCCCCATACTTCCTCCTTAAGGAACAGAAATCTGCCCCCGCCCCCGACATCCTCCCCTTTCCCCGGAGCCCCCTGGAATCCAACCTTCCCAAAACTGCCTTTTCCTAGAACCATGAGGAAGCTGAAGTCGGAGATGTGCAGGCGTCCTGGGCTTACTCCGAAGAAGCAGCGTTTGGAGTCGGTGGGACTAGGGGATGGAGAGGGGATGGGGGAGGAAGACGGGCCCATCCGCACCCGCTGTGGGAAAGGCGAGAGAGATCAAGAGGGAGTCAGACCCCAGATGAGGATAAGGGGATGTCCTGGAGAGAGACAGCATTTAAGAATGGAGGGATGGGGTAGATGTGGAAGAAAAGAAAAGTTGTCTTCCCCCTCCCCGCTTAAGAACTTTCTCTGGCTCCCTATAACCTGGAGGGTTTACTTATTATTTAAACAACATTTAGCTTGCTAACACTTAGCTTACAAGGAGCCCTGGTGGTGCAGTGGTTAAGAGCTTGGCGGCTATCCAAAAGTTGGCAGTTCGAATCCACCAGCTGCTCCTTGGAAACCCTACGGGGCAGGTCTACTCTTGTGCTATAGGGTTGATAGTAGTTGGAATCGACTTGACAGCAATGGGTTTGGTTTTGGGTTTTTAGCTTACTGTATGCTATTGCTGTTATTAGCTGCCATCTGGCTGGCCCCTGACTCATGGTGACCCCACGCACAACAGAACAAAACGCTGCCCAATCCTGCACCATCCCAATAATGGATTGCAGAGCTGACCTTTGCGATCCATAGTGTTTTCACTGGCTGATTTTCCAAAGTAGATCACCAGGCCTTTCTTACTAGTCTGTCTTAGTCTAGAAGCTGAAACCTGTTCAGCATCATGCAAGCTTCCACTGACTGGTGAGTGGTGACTGCATGTGAGGTGCACTGGCTGGGAATCGAAGCCAGGTCTCCTGCATGGAAGGTGAGAATTCTACCACTGAACCACCACTGCCCCCACTTTATGCTATTAATCCCCCAGAAAACCCCCGTTTCACAGAAGAGCAAACTGGTACATAGACATTAAGTAAACTGCCCAGAATTACACAGCAGGTGAACAGCAGAGCCAGAAATCAAACCCAAGCAGTTCAGCTCTAAAGTTTCTGTGCTCTTAACATCCAAGCCAGAATGCCTTGGAGGGCTCAGTAAAACACAGAATGCTGGGCCCCACCCCCGGTTTTCTGATTTGTAAATCTGGCAGGGGACCTGAGAATTTGCATTTCTAACAAGTTCCCAGATGGTGCTCATGCTGCTAGTCTGGGGACCACACTTTTCTCTGAGCTACAGCGCCTTGTCCACCCTGAGGCCCACAGGGGGTCCATGACCCAGTTGCTGTAACAGTGTCCACACTTGTCCCTCTCCATCTACTATCGGCCTTTCTAATGCATTCTCCACAGCAGGCATAGAGGCCAGTTTAAAAAAATAAACCAGGTCCACGGAAGAAAGGCCTGGAGATCTACTTCTGAAGAATCAGCCACTGAAAACCCTATGGAGCACAGTTCTACTCTGACACACATGGAGTCGAGATGAGTTAGAATCAACTTGACGGCAACTGGTTTTTTTTTTTTTTTTTTTTTTTTTGGTTTAGGTGGAAAACGTTATATTCTTTTTTTTATGATTTATGAACTGTAGAGTGGGGAAAAAGGAGCCTTGGTGATGCAGAGGCTAAAGAGCTCAGATGCTAACCAAAAGGTTGGCGATTTGAACCCACTAGCTGCTTCTCGAGAAAGATGTGGCAGTCTGCTTCTGAAAAGTTCCAGCCTTGGATACCCTATAGGGCCGTTCTACTCTGTCCTATCCTATAGGGTCACTATGAGTCAGAATTGACTCCACTGCAACAGGTTTAGAGTGGGGGAAAAACTCTTTTATCTGATCAACTCGACCCTCTTCTGGCAAGACTAGGATTTTGTTTTTGTAATATTATCATGGTGGAATCTAGTTCCTTGATAAGGCATTATGTAATTTTTTCACATCTCTACCTCATATATGCAATACAGTAAAATCTGTGAAAAGTCAGAACCTGTGTAAGGCAGAAAAACCTGTCAGAGAAAGAAAATTTAAATATTTTCCTTTAAAAGGAGAGACTGAAAATTGGTAAGATTGCACCCTGTCAAAGGCAGAAATCTTGCGAGACCCGGAAAAACAAGGCAGTCCTGTCGAGTTCCGGTTCTCACAGGTTTCACTGTATATAAAAAAAGAAAATACATTATTGTTCTATTATCAAAGAAAAAGTAAATAAATAGATAAATAAATCAGGTCATGTCTCCCTCATGCCTGTAACAGCTCTCACTGTACTAAGATTTCATTCCAAGTGGCTTGCAAGACCCTGCAGGCCACTCTTCCTTCCCGCTCTGTGGTCCAGCCATCTGGCGTCATGCATACTATACACCTCAGGGCCTTTGCTCATGCTGTTTCTTCTTCCTGGAATGCTCTTCCCTCCTCGTTCCTCCTAGTTGCCTCCCACTCATCTTTTAGATTTTGGGCTCAAGCATCACTTTGGAGAGGCATTTTCTGACTTCCTTAACCAGGTCAGCAGCTTCTACCACTGCCCCTTGCCACCATGGACAGCTCTTGCTTATTGTAGTGCCTGTTGTTACCCATTGCCGGGAAGTGGGTTCCTACTTGGCAACAGAATAGAACTGCCCCATAGGGTTTCCAAGGCTGTAATCCTTATGGAAGCAAACTGCTACATCTTTCTTGTGAGGAGCAGCTGGTGGGTTCGAATCGCTGACCTATTAGTTAGCAGCCCAGTTGGCTCCAACTCATGGTGACCCCATGTACAATAGAATATTGCCTTGTCTGGCACCATCCTCTCAATCATTGGTATTCTCAAGTCCATTATTACAGCCACTGTGTAGTTTGAGGGCCTTCTAACCTAGAGGGCTCATCTTTCAGCACTATATTGGACAATATTCTATTGTTATCCATAGGGTTTTCATTGGCTAGTTTTTGGAAATAGATCACCAGTCCTTTCTCCCTAGTCTGTCATAGTCTGGAAGCTCTGCTGAAACCTGTTCACAATGGGGGACCCTGTTGGTACTTGAAATATTGGAGGCATAACTTCCAGCATCATAGGAACATGCAAGCCACCACAAACTGACAGGTGGGTGGTGGTCGCAATGCTTAATTGGTTGTAAGTGACATCTATTTGTGTGATTATTTGATTAAATCTGTGGGCCCCCTAAGTTGGGGTCTGTGTCTGCTTTGTTCTCTGAGATACAGTAACAGTATCTAATGCATACTTGGGGCTCAAAAAAATATTTATGGAGCCCCCAGACACCCTTTTAGCTCAGTGGTGAAGTCAATCCTGAGGTTCACCGTTCAGCTGGGGATTGGACAGTCCCATAAAACAAAACAGGACTAATGAGGCACAGCAGTCCAGGGACAAGGACTAGAAGGCAGGAGGGGACAGGAAAGCTGGTGATAAGGAACCCAAGGATGAGAAGTAACAGTGTTGACATGTCGTGGGGTTGTTAACCATTGTCATAGGGCAATATGTGTACTAACTG